AAATAGGTTTCATAAAGGTGAAACTGGTTCATGGCGTAATTGAACCAAGAGTAGTGAAACGGGTGCATAATGTATTTGGTTCGTCATGAAATAATTGCATGATAAAACAGGTACATGATGAATCTACTCCATAATCTTGAAGATTGTAATCTGCTACATAATCTTTAAGATTGTAAGGATTAAATGAATGAATTCATCAAATCAGGAGCGAAATAAACTAATCTATGTACATGAAACAAGTTTCATGAAGGTGAAACTAGTTCATGGCGTAAWTGAACAATGAGTAGTGAACTGGTTTGATGGTGAACCTCGTTTCAATGATGGTGTAGTTGATCCATTTAGTAGGTGAAATGCAAAATGAAACGGGTGCATAATGTATGCGGTTTGTCATGAGATAAATTACATGCTAAAATGGATTCATGATGAAACCGGTGCGTCTTGAAATAATTTCATAATGAATAGGGTGCATATTTACATGGGTGTGTGAAGGACATTGAAACAATTTCAGGATAAGAAATAAAAAAGCTGCTGCATTAACGAAATTATTTCCTAACAAATAGAAATTTTTAATTTCCTAAAATTAAGAATAATGTCTTTCAATAGGATGTTACAGAATATGTATTTTTATTTACCATTTTGCCCTTATTGCTGATAAAAAAATAAAATTTTAATATATATATATATATATATATATATTTTTTAATTTTCTAAAATAAAGTAAATTAATCTTGACCATTGATCAAGAAAACGGATGGATGAGATTGGTTTACACGGTTTACACAAATGGGGGCGGTTTTCATTTGAACGCTCCTATATATATATATATATATATATATATATATAGGGTCTCATTCAAGGAAGAACTGACTAGTTTGTGGTAACCGTGAGATCCAATCTCAACCACAAATCAATAAATAAATTAGGAAATTTATAATTTTGGTAATTTTTAATTAAAATTTTAATATAAGGACATTTTATGTATTTTCTCTCATCTCTTCTCTCTCCGTCCCCATCTTCCGGCCGGCCACCGTTCTCTGGTGATACCACAATGTGATACTCAAGCACATATAAGATGCATTGTGATACCATTGTGTTACATATTCGATCGACCATACAAACGACCTCAGTGTGATACCCAATCACATATAAGATGCATGGTGATACCACTGTGGTATCACCGGAGAACGGTGGCCGGAGGCCAGAGGCCGGGGGACGGAGAAAGAAGAGAGAAGAGAAAATACCTAAAATGACCTTGCATTAAAATTTTAATTAAAAATTACCAAAATTATAAATTTCTTAATTTATCTATTGATTTGTGGGTTGAAATTAGATTTCACGATTAACACAAACTAATTAATTCTCATTTGATTTGGCTATTATATATATATATATATATATATATATAAGCGTTCAAATAAAAACCACTCAATTTTTTTGGTGCAAATCCCAGGGAAGGAAGAGATGAAATTCCAATTTACATAGGAAAAAAAATTACGTATGAAAAAAGAAAAAATGAGACTTTATGCATAAAATCCTTTTTCTGTGTTAAGTTTCTAATAGATTAAAAAATTTTAAACATCTATTATATTAATACACATAATCGTATATTAACTAAAATACATAAAACTATGTTTTTTGTTTTTACAAATTAGACCATTATAATTGTCTCGTAAATACGTTCAAAATGAACCAAATATTGAATATTTTAAGATTTAATCTATTATTAAATGTCATAAATACGTACGAACAATTTTTAAAAGTTACATTTTCTACCCTTATGGTTATTTATTTATTTTTTAACTATATGGATATAAAATGTAATTACTAAAATAATTCGCTAGTTTTATATATCTATACTATATTATAAAGCATTTGACATAAATTCTTAAAATCCACTTTTTATGCATACAGTACTGTTTATTAATGCATGTTACTTAACACTCAAGATTACAAGTAGATTGTGCGTAAGTACAACTTCTTAAAACTCCGTATCTGAATTCGTGTAACTAACTGCAAATAAACATAATCAAATACAAGATAAACATCTCATTTTAAATATAAAAAATCTAAAATATAATTAGGATAATTATTGAGTTCTAACAGAATACTTAATTATTGTCTTTATAAAATGTTATATTATTAAACCAAAAATAAATTATTTCATAATTAAACTTAAATTAAATTATAATAAAAAAATTACATAAAAAATAAGAACTTTTAAATAGTTAGATTTGAAATTAACATTGATATTTTTTTTTTTCAAATTTATATTTTATTCAAAAATAAAATCATTATTGTTTTCTTAAAAATATATAAAATTGTATTATAACAATCGACAACGAAAAAGATTAAATTAGAACAATAAAATTGAGATGTATTTCGTTGCATTACGCAAGTACCCTTCTAGTATTTAATAATAAAAGAGGTGTATAATCTGGCAATCGGATCAAAACTTAAAACACCACAATTCAGAGTTGTACTAAGCTTCTAAAAAAATCAGTTAACTTAATTAAACATAATTACAACCCAAAATGTTATCGTCTAAGTGATCCCAAAAGATTATATAAACCTGATATACAAAAGTTGATCTTAGGTCGTCCTTTTTATTTCTAGTGATATATTGATCGCTCAACTCGTCTCCAGAGTGGAACCTGAACCTGAACCTGCCGAGGAAATAGAAAACGCCTTGGCTGAGAAAAATTGCTCAGTAGACGGATAAGGTGTATAATGGTGTGAAAATAATATAAGTTCTAATAAAAGTTAACGTAAAACAATCGTAGTAAAACCATTTTGAACATGTAGAAATCATTTTTTAAAAATCAACAAGTCACTTGTATCGCAATAATACGTAGCCCAATTAGGGTTGAAATGTCAATGCCGGGCACAACACCGCGCATAACCATGTAACTAGTTTAGTTCTAGTATTCGGCTCTATTTGGTAATCAGACATTTTCTGCTATTTGGCTTTGGATGAGAATGCATGTGGTCATTAATAGCCACATATGGAAGGCATCTCAACACCCGTGACCCAAGTGTTGAATCTAATTTAAAATCAAGAAAACCCTTGTCTTTAAAAATAATCCATGTTTCATAATAATCTAAACAAACGAAAACAGATAGACTAAAAACAGATGATATCTTAAAAAAATCAACTTTCGTAAAATATAATTAAAGTTAATAATCAAAAGGTCAAATTCTGTGTTGGAATCATGAATATTTTCATAATTATAAAGAAAGAATGTGAAGATTAATCAGATCTCCTAAACCATATGCCTGCTAGACTAGAATAGTTCAACAATTCATTTTTAAGGACTTACTTTATATTCAAAGAATTGTTTATATATTTTAATTAATTTATGTAATTTGTTTAATTAAATTATATCATGACAAAATTTTCGTTAAAACAATTAAAATGACACTAAAATAAAAAGTTTACATAGTTTCCAATGTTTATTTTCTACATTAATTTTTATTATTAAAATTACATAAGTTAATAAAAAAAACCGTACAAAAATAATATTTTGAGAATGGTAAACTGAAAGTTTAAAAAGCAATAATAAAATAAATAAAATTTAAAAAACGAATAAATGTAAACAGAAGACTTATTTGATGTTTTAGAAGAAAATTAAGTTTTATTATAAGATTATATTTGTAAAATATAAATTTGTTCCATGTGTAGGGGTAGAACAACCCTGTTCCACTATGTTCCTGTCTGTTCCACATAAAAGTCCGACCAAACATGGGACAAAGATTTTGTTTTGTTCTGTCATATCCAAACGCACCCTAATAGTGTAAGATTTTTCTCCCTTCTTGGTCCTTGCTAGTCTCTTATCATGTAAGATTTTCAGGTAAAGTAAATGGCACTGCATGTGCTTACCCGGAAAGCATTTGGTAAACAGCGTGAGATCTTGTTAGCGAATCCTTAAGTCTTGAAAATGCTACATGAAGAACAAAAGCTAGATGATGGAAACATTTGTTGACTTGCACCATTTTAACCGGAAAAAAACTCCAATTATTCTTTCCTTGTTTCTTTCAAACAAGACATCGACATGTTATTTTCTCTCTTTCTCTACCATTTAATTTAAATATGCATTCCTTACATCTACATAATCATCCATATGCATTTACATACCCATCTTCTATCTTTACATGTATCCAAATTTGACTAAAAGAAAATAGAAAAAGTGTACCAAATTAATGATTTTTATTCCTTCTTCTTATTTGCTTAGAGTTCCACATCGGCAAAAGTTTGACCATTTTCCCTCGAATATTGATGGAACTTCCCTAGGCTCTTTAGAGATAATCCGGTGTTCCACGTATTCTCACATGTTATCAGAGCAAAGTCTACCATTCAAAAATGCAAGGTGCATCTTATTATATATATATATATATATATATATATATATTATATATAACACTCACAGACACACACACACACAGGTAGACACACCAAGTCTCCAATGCAGCGAAGAACAGTACTTCGATAGAGGCGGAAGGGTTTAAAGCGTGAGCCATGAAGGAGAAGTTTTAAGGTATGGGTATTTATAGAGAAGGAGACTTGAAGTTCTAAGGACTTGGTATTTAATATTTAGGGTTTGACTTATGTCATCTATTTAATAACATTTTTTTAAGAAATCTAGGAGATGAGAAGATAATAAAACTTATTTAATCTTAGGGTTTAACTAGATATTTAGTAACTCTTTACGAGATTCACCTAGCTAGGCCCACAAGGCGCAGTACCTTTAGTGAGCCTTGTGAATGCACTGAGCCTCAACTTGAAAAAAGCCACCTTGAGCCTTATGGGCTTCAGAGCCTAGGCGCGCCTATGCTCCTGACTTCAAGAAAAGATCAAACTTTCATAAGATATAGTTCGATTACGTTTAAAAAGTGAAGGCATGACCATTTTAGTGCAAAATAAGCAACAAACTTTTAGATCATCACCGGCCAATTATTTGATTTTAAACTTAACTAAAAGTCACCAAAATCACTTTCTTTTCTTCACCAGTAATCCTTACATGAGCACGAGCCAGAGACAAAATGATGGAAGCGATTTCGATCTCTGACGATGATCTTCCTGTTGTAGATCTTTGATATTAACTTCAAGACAACAGGACAGTCGTCACAAACTCGGAGATTCTTAACAACGTCAATACATGACCCTTGAGCTGTGCTAAGAAGCCCGAAAGCTATTACTAGCTTTTCGCTATGATGTGCTAAAACACCCTCTCTCTTTTTCATCGATATTTTGTGAAACTGAAGTTATCAGAGATTCATAATTTCATATCCCTCATGTTTTAATCTACTAATAATATCGACTAACATTTGGTGGATCTCTCTGGATCTCGGGTGTCATCTGTCACCAGCAACAAATTCATGAACTGCAGTCCCAACCTCAATTGAACTGCTCCCAGGAACCTTTTGGATTTTGTTTTCTTTCATCTTCCTTCTAACATCCACAACTTTCTCCCATTTCTTGGCTTGGGAATATATGTTTGATAAAAGCACATAGTTTCCATCTGCATGAGCTTCCAGTGAAAGTATTTTGGTCGTAGCTTCTTCAGCCAATTCGACATTTTTATGGATCTTACAAGCTCCAAGAATTGCTCTCCAAACTATTGGATCTGGTTCAAATGGCATATTTCTGATCAACTCTCTGGCTGCATCTAGACATCCAGCTCGACTCAGAATATCAACCATGCAACCATAATGTTCGATTTCAGGAGTTAGTCCATATTCGTCACTCATAGCACTGAAGTATTTCCATCCCTTATTTACCAAACCGACATGGCTGCATGCACTTAAAACGCCTATAAAGATGATACCGTTTGGTTTAATTCCTTCAGATATCATATTATCGAAATGATCGAGTGCAACTTCACCATAGCCATGGTTCGAGAGCCCCATGATCATTGCACTCCATAAAAACACATCCCTCTTTTTTATGCCGTTAAAAACCTTTGATGCATTGTCGATATCCCCACACTTTGCATACATGTTAACAAGGGAAGTCCCGAGCTTAACGTCTACTTCAATTCTGTTTCTTTCTATGTACTTGTGGACAGTTCTGCCCATACCTAAAGCACCTAAGTCTCCACATGCAGACAACACACTGATAATGGTGATTTTATCAGGCAACAAGTTAGTCAACTGCATCTCATGAAAAAGCCTCAAGGCCTCATGAGGTTGCTTGCTATTTGAGTATTGTCCAACCGTAGATCTCCAAGAAAAGAAATCTTTTTCACCACAAGCATCAAGTGTTGTATGAGCAGACCCCACATGGCCAAGTGAGGCATAACCATGAATCATGGTGTTCCATGAAACCAAGTCTCTTAGAGACATTTTATCGAACAGTTGTCGTGCTAAACCCATTTCTCCAATCCTTACGTATTCCGCCAACAGTACATTATACGAAACCAAATCCGGATTTTTCATCTCCCTAAACACCTTCCTTGCAAATTCTATCCAACCAAATTTTACGTACATTTCAGTCAGACCAGTCTGGACAAACAAATCACCATCAAACCCAAGTTTCAACACCTGGGAATGTATTGTTTGACCGTTCTGAAGAAAACCCGACCTCCCACACGCTTGAACCACAAGAGACAGGCTGAAACTGTCGATAAAGAGGTGATCTTGGCGACGTAACCGGAGAAATAAAGACAGACACTCATCATGGTTTGTGCAATTCAGGTAAGCTCTAATCATGGTGTTCCAAAGAAATGTGTCTGGACTTGGCATTTCGTCGAAAAGGGATCTGGCATAACACATATTGTTAGAAGAATTCAAAGAGAATTTCCGGAGGAGCTTGGCGATGATGAAGTTGTTAGATTGTAGGCAAGTTTTTAGAAGGAATCCATGGATTTGAAGGATGTCATGAAGTTCTTTTGAGTCGTGAATTAGGGACATGATTTTCTGTTCAATGGTTTTCGTGGGGGAGTGTGGAAAAATCGACGACATGAACCCCATTGTTTTACATCTCAAAAATGGGGGACGTAATCGAATATTTACAGAAAATATGATGAGGGATTCAATATGTAATTAAATCATAATACAGGGGCTCTTTGTAAAAAAAGGAGATAGTTGTGGGAGTCGTTTAATAAAGTCAAGCCGCCAATATGATGACCGGCTGAACCGGTCAATGTGTCGAACGTTAGTGGTACGACTTCAACAAAAAGGGAAAAGGAAAACGATCGGCTTCTTTCTTTGTTATTACACAACAAAATTGGATTAGGGTTTTGTTCGGTTCACATTGAAGAATCACGGAAGCAGAGGAGGGGGAGGGATCTCAAATTCACGCGTTTCTCTCTCTTCCTTGACTTGATTTGGAGGCTATTTATTAAGTTTCTCTTCAAATCGAGGAACTTTTGTTTGTTTTCTGGTGAGTATACTTTCATTTAGATTTGTTGTACCATTTTGAATTTCGAGTTGGGTATGTTGGAGTTTAAAGGGAATGAAAATCTTGGAACGTGTTATTTTGTTTTTGTTCTGTAATAGTTTTATCTGATTGGAATAGCAAATCCTTGTGTTGGCTCTAGGGTTTTTGTATGAGGTAGTATTTGGGCGCATAGAATCCTGAGATTTATGTATTCCAGAGGTATGGAATTGAATGAAGAAGTTCTCTGAGTTCAAAACTCAACTGATTTTACTCCAATTAGAATGCTAAGACATTTGTACGCTTTTGCAGATGGTGCTTATGGGACTCTTTTTTTATTTTATT